GGCTATGAAACAAAAAATATAATTGGTACAAGTTATTTTTGGAGGCTCAAACATTTGGCCAAATCTTAGCAGCATAAAATTCAAGACACATGACTCAGAAGTCGATCTGATCAGCCCATGGCATTAGACTTCAGCGTCATTAATTAAATCAGGTTCTTACAAAAAAAGGTACTTACGGGTATTGGGCTTAATTTTCTTTTTCTTTGACAAAGGTGTGACTGTTTTAGAGACTGGAAAATACTACAAAGCAGACTATACATATTGTTTTTCTCCTGTTTTCCAAAACAATATTAAACTGGAAAGAATAAGTGAGAAAGAGTTAAGCAAGAACGTGATCTGGAGATTTGTTTATGAATTTACTTTTTGAAGGATTAGAGAAACAGCTGTTTGAGGACTCTAAAGGTTTCCTACAACTGTATGTCTAAATGATTTAAAAGACTAAAAATACATCAACAAAGCTCTTGTTTAGTTGACTGAACAAGCAGCCCATTGAATTTAAGTTATAGCTGCACTGAATCTACTATTAATTGTCACTTTGCATTGTTCTTACTTTCCATCTAGTCCACTAGCATGTCTCGAGTACCAGCAGCCCGTACCAGAGGCCTCAGAAGAAACTACTTGAACTCTGTCTAAGGCAACACTGGAATACTCTATTCCTGCCCTCAATATACACATACATAAAGCTCCTTTCTCCTGTATCAAGAGAGAAGAAGAAAACACATTCCCTTTTAGCCTTCTCTGGACATGAAGTATTTCACCGAGTCCTCTCTCAGCCACCTTAGTTCCGTAAAAAACGAAACAAAACAAAAACCCCACACCACCACCAAATTCCTTTGACTCCTCCTTAAAAAGACGTGCCAAATATTTGATTACTCATCGCGTTTTAGAATAAAGTATTTTCTTGTCAGAGTATCTTCTCCAAAATGTAGCAATTCACACATTGTGGGTAAACTGGTATTCCACTATTATGAGAGGTTAAAGTTATAGCTGTTTGTACAGTCAACTCCCTTTATAACACTTCTAAGCCAATCAAGTGTCTTTCAAAAATACCAGACCTTAAGTTAGACCAAATATATTTAAAATACATACCTGACAGGTGCTACTGAACTTGCTGCAATAATGGGAGCAGTTTCACATTCTTTTCTAAACACAAGGTTAGGATGTTATTTCACAAAAAAATAGAATTTTTTTTAAAAGTGCATCTTTTTTAATTAGGTCTTGGGAAAGACAATATCCTTTTGTTCATAGTTGCTTTCTGCCTTATTGATTGAAAAGATTCCCATCCTGAACACTGATGAATAATGTACACAGCTTCGTAAAAAGAATTCTCTCCTTGCTATAGGCTGTTTCAGACGGATATTTCAGCTTGATTTTGCCACCATTTAGCAAAAGAGCCTTTCAGATTTATAAAAAATAATTCATAAAAATGACACATTAATCATGCCTGCAGTCTGATGTGAATTTTGATCTTCTGAAATTCAGAGGAAAATTTTTTCAGTGATTTCAAAAGAAAACAGAAAACACCTATTCTATTGAAAACTTCTCATTTTCAACAAAGGACCTTTCAACAAAGCTCCAGTGCTAGCCTGGAGCTTCTGTGGCTGACTGTAACACCTAGAACAATGCAATGAATTCTGTGAGAGAAGGCATCCAGGTCAGCATGTTTCCAGTCTACACCCAGTTAGATAATTAAAAAAAGGTTCATTTTGAAGTCTCATTTGTGCTCGTGAAAGGAATTCAAGTTGTAATAGATGTACAATAGATGTAACATATTGGTTGTTTTTAAAAGAAAATCATAGGTCATGATGGACTATTGTGGTATATTATGTCTAGGATTCACACCCTAGCCGGAATTGCTACTGATGCATACCCCTCTTTCTTGCAATAAATGCATAAACTACTTATTCACCCCTTTTCAGTTTACAGGCAAAGTTCTTCAAAAAGCTCTCACAACTTTCACTGGGACACAGGCAGGCTTTAAGACCAGCTTCAAGTACATTCTTCAAATTCCCCTAGTACCTTTATTCCACACTCCAATTTTATAGCTGTGCCCACCTTGTTGAAACTGGGCATGTATAGAGCTCCACCCATTGCAATAAGCTGGCAGTATCTTCATCCATCCTTTTATAGCTACCTGTCTGCAGACACCCCAGCACCCTTGCCATGTATATAGCAGAATTGCAAGCAAAAGACTTTGTGACACGCAGTTCCAGCATTCTCTAGGATATTACCCTTCCATTGTTTCTCAGCCTTCTTTTTGTATTTTCTCTCATTTCTTCTCAGATTTCCTCTTGTACCCACAGCTACACTCATCACATATTGTCTAAAGCTATAAACAAAGATGAAAGGGTCAGGCAAATACACAGTCACGTATAAAAACAATCTTTTATTTTCACATCAAAACAACTTCTATTTTAATTACTTCTTTGAAAAGGTAATGAGTTTAAAATGTCCTTTGTTTAGCCCCTTAGATATAGCCCAAGTCTGAATGTTCTTGCTATTGCAGACATTTTCATGGTGTACACGAAAGTGTTTTCTCTCTTAATTCCCTGCCTGAGAAAAGTATGAGAACCTGGTGATAGTGCAAGGAATACAAAGTCCACTGTGAGCAATGGCAAGGACTAAAATAGACACATGAATGCCTAAAGTTTGACTTAGTAAGTGCACATTGAAGCCAGGATTGTGGTTAACTATGACAAGTGCTGAGGCCCACTAAGTTTTAAGTAAAAATGAGGTCTATTTGGAATTCAGCTCACGTTACTCAGTTATTTCATTAACCGTGCAATTTTGACACACCCATTGCAGGTAACGTATAAGAAGTCTAACCTTTTTGGTGAAATACAGGATGAACATTGGTTAAATCCTGTCCAAATTCTCCTACCAGGCAAGCATATGTCTTTATTGTGTGATTTGGCCTTTGTATCAAATTCCTATCAAAATTCCCCAGCAAATTTGCTGGTTTGACATGAGGTACAGAAGTATGTCCAGGTTATACAACTCTGTTGTCTCAAGAACTGTGGAAAAAATAACGTACCTCATGTTTTCTTGAAAGAACATGCCCTTTATAATACATTCCATCTTTGATATACTGATAGCACGCATGGTCATAGAGATTAATTTCTAACTTCAGGACATGCTAATTCCACAAGGATTAGTCAAACCAAAAGGTTTCGCATTTGCAAGTGAGCTCTCTCAAACGAGCTTTGCACCATCTCAGTCCGATATATTGATGTACCATCTACAAGTCAGGTTATAGCAGTTTTGAATTCCAGAATTGGATTCAAGTTTCTTGCAAAGCTTTGAAACCTGAAATCAAATATTCTCCAGGAATTAAAAAATAAATGTTAAAATAATTGCTCTCATTAACAACAAACATGGTGTTTTTAATTTGAAATACCTTCAGCAACAACTACTAGCTACATTATCTGTATGGAAAACAGAAGGCAAATATTGTAACACTTCAGGTCCTGTTAAAAATTTAGTTTATCATAAACTGCTTGTCAGGTGAACCTTGGTTTTGACACAAAAAGCATCTGCTTTCCCTAAAAAATCCCAAATTTCAAAAACACTGCCAAAGTAAAAATATTCTACTCAGTAAACTAAAAACATTTTCACTGCAATCAAAATTATCCATGGAAAAAGACGAAAGATCGCTTTTTAACCACACATACTAGTAACACAGAAAGGAACACCAAGGTTAATTCTAAAAGCATATGCAGGGGTAAGCTAATTTTGCACTTTTGAACATCTCACCTGCTTCCTTACTACAGCTCCCATGGTCTCAAATAATACTCATTCTATTATTCCTGACCATTGAGCACCAATGGTTCTCAATTCATACATACTCCTAACCATAATATCTGAACCTAAAACAATAAAAGCTCCATTATTTACTTCAGGCAATAAAAAAGCAGCCTCAGAATAGACAATTCATTATTATCATTAATAGGCAATTCTGCATTCATCGTTATTATTAATATTAATACCTGATTTTTTAAACACTGGGAAGCATGCTCACAACTAACTTTCACTACGCATATTGAACATCATTATACATCCAACATGACCTGAGGACAAGACCTCCTCTTACTGTATCTCAAAATGTATTATATTACTACAGTGTAGTACATAATATCTATGTAATATATAGGTATATAAGAGTGTGTGTTGTATTACACAGTACCACAAAATTTCTGTGCAGAGATTTCTGAAATTGAGGTATATAGACATATGCATCCAAGTAAATTTTAAGGCTGAGATTTTGCAATAAGATTATTAGATGTAAGTTAACATTATTAGTATCTAGTATCTCTCACAGAGTTACTCACAATGATATCTTACTTGAGCTTCAGATATTAAAGAAGCTCCTTTGCCATAGCATCTGCAAAATGACAATATGATGTGTATTGTACCTCTCAAGAGTCCATAAGCTGTGGTTACCTAGCTTGTCTTCATTGGCCTGAGATCACTTCCAGTCCAAGATACTGTAGAAACAGAGCTGTATGATATCTCAAAACACAAGCTGACGTCAGAAGAAAACTTGTATTTTCAAATGAAGTTTTGACCTTGACAGAAGTAGTTTAAAACTGTTTTCCTATTATTTTTAAGTATATAGTTTTTATGAAGGTTGTGATTAACGTTTGATACATGCAACTAGCACATCATACAGTAAAATGAGAGAAGAGAAAACAGAATGGTGTTTTAATGAAAACAAAAAATAGAAGATCTTTAACCAGGCAACAATTTCATGCTGTATTTATCTTTTGAAGAACGTCATTCTTTCACATCCAAAGTCACAAACATAAAAAAGGAAAATAAACAGGCAACATTTTTCTTCTATTCTCCCTCCTACCCACCACCCTTCCCATCCAGTAGACTGCAATACATCATGTAATATATTCTGACCACCACCTAGCACCAACCTGCTTCCACATGCAGTATCATCATTTTGGATTAATTTTACCTATCGTATATTCCATCTCCTCCATCCTCACCCATGTTCAACACAGATACTCAGACCTAGAGCCCTCGCTTTTGAAGGTCATTTGAGAATCCATGCTTGACCTAGAACAAAGGAGAAGTCTTTCCGACTCATCTGTGTACCTTCGTGCCCAGAGCTGCTCTCCCGCATTCACTGTTCGAGGCTTCAGAGATAGTGTTTCAAATTTTACATAGGTCTCTTTTGCAAGGTCAGCTTCCTTTGCAGTTTTGGGTTTCACACGAAGTTTTAAAACTTTGTAGAGTAAGAAAAATATCAAAGGTAAAACAAACACACATGCTGCACTGCTGGCCAATATCAGAATAGAAAACTGAGAGCTGCTTTCATCATTCAACGTATCAGTGGAGAAAATAATGCACTGCTCTTTTGTAGGTGGCACTCCTTTGGGTGAGACACATGCCATATATTGAGTACTAGGTTGCAAACCATCAATTGTGACTTTGTTTTTGCTAGAATCAGTGCTCAGAGGCAACATATCTTTCTCACCATACTTTGAGTATAACACAGTCACTGCAGAGTTGCTTGTGGCATTGACAGTTTTCCAAGTTAAGGTCACTCTTTCATCAGTTTCACTGATCACTCTTAGGTTCTTTATAGTAACATTTTGCTCAGCCATACCTGCTGTATTCAATGAAGTCTCCTCACCTTTCTTGCTTATCTCCCCGGTCTGCTTTGTCTCCTCAACTTTCTTGCTTATCTCCCCAGTCTGCTTTTTGTTTCCATTCGTCACTGCCTTTGAATTTTTCTTTCCATCGAACACGGGCCTGGATTGCTTCTTGGCAGTAAACCTGATGCTCGTTGATCTTTCAGTGCTAACCAGTGCTGCGGTGGTTGGTGTGGTGGAGGGAAGAGGTGTGGTTGTCCTCTCAGGTTCCTGCTTGGATTCCTTCTGAGTGGTATTCTGTCTCTCTGCCTCTTGCTTCCTTCCATACTTCTGTGGTGACACAGTTGTAGTAACTACACCAACCACTGTGACAGTAACAGCAGCTTCTGACATTCCTGCCAAGTTCTTGGCTTTACATCTGTATTCTCCTGCGTCCTTGTATGAAATCCCTGTCAAGCTTATTATGGACCATCTGACACCCTCTCCAGGTGTTTCTTGAATTACTACAGGAAAATACAAAGAGTAGAACATTATAAAAGGGAGCTAAAGAGAAAGTAAACATTATTAGACTACTTCTTCCCTTAAGTTATTTCTGCCAGAAGGAATCACATGTATTAAACTTCAAAAAAAAAAAAAAGAAACAAACCCAAACCCACCCACCCTCCAAACTATGCAACTCCCTGCCATATTATATTATTGCAGAAAAGTGCTCAGCTTGGGTCAAAATGGAATTGAATGTCTGGAGGAATTACAATATAACTTGCAGTTTCACTAAGTAAAACACATAAAGAGAAATCAAATGTCTTAAAGCTAAGTGACTAGGAAATACAAGTCTCACTGACTTCAAGTGACACTGAACACACTAGCCATTTAAAATAATTTTTGAAATTACCTTTGTCTTAAGATATTTCAGTACTTTGGACTATTACCTTCTTCAGACCTATGATTTAAGATAACTGCTAGCTACTTGGCATTAGCAAGAAACATTTTTTATATTTAAGTTACTGCATAAATATCTATCACAGTAGCTAGAATGATATCAGACAATCACAGCCTCTTTAGCATTCAAGATGGGTGTTGCAAATAAACAATTAACATCTGCAAATAACTAGAAAACATGATTTTGGAAATTCCTATGTTTACAATGCTGAGTTTTAAGTAGCTCCGTTATGGCCTCACTAGTTTTTTTAACACGAACATTTTGAACCAAAACAGAGATTCCAGTAACGAATTCTCCTTTCTGCTTTTCAGCTTCTGAGTTAGACTCCAACTATCCCAACTTCCATTTTCCTTTATTCTTCCCCCGTTTCATCCACTTCCCTCCTCCACGCATATTGTTCTTATTACAGACCACATCCAGAATCAGAACAGTCTGTTGGACCTGTTCAGACCAAGACCTAGACAAAGAATCTCGTAACAGCTGTTGCATGGATACAATTGCCAGCTTGGTGCAATACCTGGTCCATTGTTTCTTATTATAATGATCTCAAAGCACAAGCAACCCAACAATTTCAGGCTCTCCCATTTCCTATAAAAAAGCAATTATACCTGTATAGTTCACTGGTATATTGTCTGACCTAGTCCAAGTAAGCTGCGGTGTTGGGTAGCCGGTCGCATCGCAGCGTAGCAGAACGTTGCTTCCCAGCGGGGAAGTGATTTTTGTCGCCGACGTCATCACGGATGGTTTAAGACACTGCTCTAGCTCAGCCTTCTGGAACAAGATTCCTGCCAGGCTCTCAGGTCCACTACATGAAACCAATGGATCAAGAAGTACAACTGAGTTGTCCACAATTTTGGAAAATTCAATTAGTTTTGAAATGCGACAGTCACAAAACCATGGGTTGTCCTGCAAACCTGAAGCAGGAAGGGAAGAGGAGAAATAAAAAAAAAAAATAATGTTGTTAGGCAATATATGGGTATCGTGATTACAGCATGATGCATGACTACCACCAGGTACAATCAAGGAGAACCGTGGACCTATTCTGAGTTAATCTTTTCTCTTCCAATTTGTATTTTTTCAATTTCAATTTTGTATTTTCAGCTGATTGGTGGGGGAGTTTTTGCAGAGGTGAGGAAGAACAGTATGAATGTTTATTAAGCTAAACTTTTTCTTCACAGAAGTTTACAGGAGCATAGTAATATATAGCACTACCTTTGCTTAACTTTGCTATTATCTAGGAAAAACCACTTTGAAAAGATGTCTTAAGACTGATGATACATTTTCACCTGCCTGTGCCTTCTGGAAAGACAGCTTCTCAGGGCTGTTGCATCCTGTCACTCTCCTCTGCTCTTAGTCCTTCTTTGGGGTCTTAGAGTTTGATCTTCTCAGACTCTTTTTTCAATGCTTGCAGAGAACATGATGATTTAAGGGTTTAGAGCTTACACCAATATCTCTGCCCCTTGAAAAAGAGATAAAGGCTGAGGAGACAAAGCTTTAGGCCAATAAAACTCTTATCTGGCTCTGAACTATACCAATATTCTTAGAAATCTGGCTTCAATTTAAGGCAACCTCTGAAATACATTCAAAAAGAATAGCAGAAGAGTAGGAAATGGGAAGGTCCCCGAAAAAAGCTGATGACTACAATATTTTTATGATAGTACACAAGAACACTATCTCTCCTCTTCTGTTAGAGGCTATAACATTTGCTTCTTGATTCCAAAGTCTCTGAATGAGAGGCTTCTCCCTCTTGGTGAACTTCTTATGGTGAAAGAGAGTACCATTTCTGACGAATAAAACTGTAAATCCTCAGCTGGTATTGATTACTTTGCTATTTTGACCTTCATGGAGCAACAGCGGCTTCACCAGGTAAAACACCACACAGCATATCACTCATGAGTTCAAATATTTTCTCATTTGACTTATACTTTTGGGCATACCTTTTTCATTTTTAACAATAAACAGAACCTACAGTCTGAAACGAGGGATGGCATGCAAGAACCCTTCGCTATTGAATTTACTGGTTAGTGCAACAGACAAGTCATATTAATTAAACCAAAATTAAAAGAAAAAAAAACCTGAAACACCTGCTAATATTGTTCAGTGTGTTTTTTTAGGAATTATCAAAACAGCTAATGGAAAAATTGTGCTTTTTCTTCTGGAAGAAACCTGTAGATGAAAGAATACATGAATAATTAACTACTGCTTCCTTTTATCACCTGACCGAGATTAGGTTATTTTAAGCACAATGGCAGTGATTGGTTAAAACTGTGGTAAACCCCAATTAATCCCCGCTCTTTAAAACAAGACTTGACCTGAAGAGATTCCATGACTTTGACATCACAATCCAATTTCACCCCTTCCAGACATAAGAGATTTTACATCTATTCACTACTTACTGCCAGCTGGAACGGAGAAGGAGAAATCAAGGAAACTGTATCAGTAACTGCTTCTCTTTAAAAAAAAAAAGAGAAAAAAATAATCTCCAAAATATAAAAAAATTTTCCTATGAACTTCACACACATATTCACAAGCAAAGGAGATACCATCCGAATGTTTTCCATATGTCTAGGCACATGAACTGTTTGTGCTCATAAAAATTCTGCCCAATCAAGCACATGTATGTAACTATTTGTGCTCATCTTTTAAATTAGGCAAGCTTTAGTTTGTAGTTGGAGAGAGTTAGAGACAATATTCCTGTAATTTTTTTTTTTTTTTTTCATTCTCACTTGCTTATAAGGGGTCAATTTTCCTCACTATGTTAAGAAAGAGACTATATGAGCATTTGAAAATTAAATTCCCCTAAGGTATAAGAGGGAAGACAGGATTCCCTTGAAACAAGGCCTCAACTGCCAGAGTTCCCCTGTAACAAATGCTGCTAAAATGCATATGAGCTCCCAGCACGGCCTCTGTGCTATCTAGAGGACGGAAGCATGGGGCAGCTGTGGCTACAAGCAGGCAGCAGGGCAGGAGCTCTGGGACCACAACGTTAGTCAGGGCAGGTTTGCAGCATCAGTAGGGCTCCCATCCCGCATACCAGGCAGCAGATTCTCCCTTACATTGAATGCTACTGAAAATATTTCTTCTGTGACCTTTCTGCCTCCTACAAGCCTTACTGCAGGAAAGGATGGTGTTTATTATTGTTTCTAATACTACTAGCAGCGCTTAAAGGCCTTTCAAATAGAATCATAGAATGGAAAAGACCTTTAAGATCATCGAGTCCAACCGTAAACTTAACACCGCCAAGTCCACCACTAAACCATGTCCCTAAGCGCCACATTCTACACGCCTTTTAAATACCTCCAGGGATGGCGACTCAACCACTTCCCTGGGCAGCCTGTTCCAGTGCCTGACAAACCTTTCGGTGAAGAAATTTTTCCCAATATATATAAAAACATGGCTTTCATTCTCCCAGTGTCCCAAAGAAGATCCAAAATTGTTACAATAAGTATCAGAAACTGACAAAATAGAAGGAATGATGAAACAAAGATGGATAGTCCTTAGATTGGATGGTTGTTTATTCCAGTCTGGGACACAGGTTTGACCATCTCAGATCATTCTGAAGGTCTGGTTTCATCTTCAGAAGAAAGCTGTAGTCCCAGAAGACTCTGCACTTCTGTGCTTTAGTGCAAAGAAAGAGTTATTTCAGTTAATCACCTCATCTCCCCCATCCATCATGCCTCCCAGTGGAACTGGCTAAAGAAGCAGGACTTATATATATACACAGCTACAGGAGTTCCTTCCTTGCCTCCACAGCTCATCCTTTCTATTTATCTGTGTTTTGCCAATATCTGACAGTATTCACATTATTTTTAGTAAACTTGCACAGCCATTGTAAGTCATCAAGTCATGTGAATTCCCAAAATGAAAAGATGAAAGCACTATTGAGTTGGAAACAAGGATAAAACACTGAATTTGATTATACTTCAGTTAGCTATTGCAGAGAACAGAAACGGGAATGTAAACTTAGTTTCCAAACTACAAAGGGCATTCTGAAATTTAACAGCTTATGTTTACAAGATGGTAAAAGAGAACAAAAACATGAAAGAATAAAGAAAAGGTTAAAAAAAAAGGAAAAAAAAAAAAGAAGTAACTGGAAAAAATGGGGAGCTTTAATAAAGGAATGAGACGGAACCCCCTCAGAAAAATAATTTCCTAAGAAAGGAAAATAAAAATAATGATAAGACTCCAATGGTATGTGTATCTGATGGAACACCAAGTCTTTATGAACCCTGGATTTTTTGTAGAAATATTAAGGCAGCTTGTTGAACTGAGAAAGAAATACTAACCAAGGCAAAACAAATGTTGGTAAATATTTATGCGTTGCAATATACCAATTCAGTGTATTTTATCATGAAATATGAATTATAAACTGCTCTAAAAACCTTTCTTTATTCTAGATTCAGCATATTTTAAATTTACTCTCACGCATTTATATGTATGCTTGTGTGTACAACGGCAAGTATATGTATATGTGTGTCTGTGCATGCACATTTTTTCAGTCTTCTCAGTAAGCAGGGTTTCCCCATGCTGTGTCAATATGGACTTTAGCATTCGAAATAGCTACAAGTGAGATTTCCTTTGTAAATCAGTAACCAGTCTCAGACCATAACTTGTAAAAGATACTGCTTTTCAGTTGCTGTAAAATGGCAGTATGTGAAATATTCAAGTTTTGGGCTGATGGAAATATTCACCACAGCTTGGGCCAACCTACCCAAGGCTCTCTTCCAACTGAAGCTACAAAATTTTTGATCCATGGTTCTGAACAGTAAAGCCCACTTCCCGCACTGTGTCCCAGTGTTTCCTACAGACAGTAATTACCAGGGAGCAGTTTCAGGAAAAGCAGCATCTACCCAATGGCCCAGTATAACAGCTGGGAGCCTGATGGACCTGCAGCATTTCAAATTTTTGGCACTTCTATGTGCAACAGAGGCAAGATTTCATCTAACTGCCACTCTGTCAAATCCTGGATTCCTCTGTTCCTCTCAGTGACTCAATAGATGTAATTTTCCATACGGAAAATGATACTGCCATCATTCACACCAGAAATTTCAATCTCTGTACAGCAGCCAATGCTGAAACTTAGCTGTGATTTGGATGAAAGTATCAGGCTATAGCTCCAGAGAGGGCCAGATGAACTCACACATTGGTCCATTGCTTAGCTGTCAGCTCACTCCACAGCTTTGTTTTGAACTGTTCCAAAGGGCACTCTCCAAGACAAAGCCAGATGTGGCTCCAGGGACAGTTTGCACTCCAGGGATTGCTCCCGGAAAGGTGTGTGGATGAGACCACACCAAGGATGGCTCGCTCTATCCTATCCTTGCCCTCAACGTAAGTGCAGCAGGCTTTGCACCTCCAAACTATCCTGCATGCCTATCAGCCCATCAGGCATACAACATACCCTTGCTATTTTATATTACAAAAGCACAATTCTATGGGTTGCAATGCAATTCTCACATTACTTCAGGCAGTTTGAACTGAAGAAAAAACACCCCCACCCATACAGTCACATTTTAGAGTCACTGCAGCATCCCTTAGAGCCCACAGAAAACCAAGGGAAACCTGAACTTTCTCTTACATGCAACCTTCTTTATGCTCAGTCAAGACACTGAAGATAAAATTGCCTCCTGGTGTTAAAAAATACACATGCACAAACATTTGAGTTTGGGGCTTTGCTGTTGTTGATCTTGTTAATTAAATACAAGTGACAATCTTGTTTTGCCAGAACTAGGAGAGAAGCCAGCTCAAGCCATAATTTCTTACACTAAGTGGAATCTGACTGCTGTTTTCCTGACTAGACAAAACCAGCATTTATTTGCTCTGGGTTCCAGCTTCTAGCAGAGCTCTGGCTGCACCTACCATTCTATGTAGGCACATAGGTCAGGTTGAACGCTCCCACAGAGAACAGCTGGAGCACATAGGACACTCTTAAGCATCAAAGCATGCAATTGTGGGCATCACATTTTAAGAGAAACCTTTTTTGTAAAACCCAAAGGAGTCCAAAGGGAACCAGTAACTATGGTAGAAAATGAAAAAAAAAAACCCTCACAGTCTATAAGAAACTGGTGAAAGAAATGGTGTGATCAGTTAAGGTGGGAAACAGGGAAGGAAAATGTATGAAAGGTTACTATAAGGGATGGTAATTGGTTTTTCTGTATGTCCATCTCATGTAGGACTAGAGGTAATCAGCTTAGTTTGCAGTAAGGGAGATTGAGGTTAGATATTAAGAGAAACTTTCTCACTATCCTGATAGATAAGCACTGGAAGAGGTTACCAGGGAAGGCTCTGGAATGGTCTGGCTGCAGGCTTTAAGAACAGCACTGACTTAACCAGAATGGTTCAGCTGATCTGGATCTGCATCCCAGCAGGCTAGAGGCCTTTTCAAAATCCTTTCTGATCACATACCTCTGTGATCCTCACCTCCACTGCAGAGCAGGAGGACAGTATCTATGGGAAAAGTTTCTCCTCCCTCACGCTCCAACAATCCCGGTAGAGACAAGGAGGGGTGTCAGAGAGGAAGCAATGCCACAGAGCACATCTTGCTCCTGCTGTTCTAAGCCAACATCTCCTATGGTTGGAACATTACAGACACATCTCAACTCCTAGGTCACCCTCCTAGCCTGATAGTTTCTATCACCCATTCATTCCTGAGAAACAACTGCTTTGTAACAGTCCATCAACAGCAACCTAAGGATGAGCCGCTGGCAGTGAGTGTGAGTGGCATAACTACAACTTCGCAAGCTCCAGTAACACAGACAATAAAGCTAACGCTTAATGGAGACTAAGTAAGCTTGTCAGAATAACCCATAACATAAAGAGCGCTGCACTTTCTAATCTCCAGAGGAAAGGCATGTTTCCTTATTCACTATAGAGTTTCTTATATAGCAAGCACTGTCTGCATTGGGATATACTCATCAGAAGGCTATGTTGCCAATGAAAGAAAATTCAGCTAATTATTCACAGCTTGCCTAAGGTAGATTTACTCAACACAACACAATGAAAGTACTACCTGGCATTTTGCATTCTCAGATCCAAACCCACAATGACTGCACAGAGCCTCCCTCAGCACATAACAGTAAAAAAAGAGAAGCAAGGCGCTGTTTGAACCCAGTGTGTGTTCCCCTCTGAAGATCTGTGTTCAAACCCAGTTGTAGTTCATAAACGAAAATGATCCAAAGGTCACATCCCAAGTCTCTGGAGAACTCAATGCTGGCACCAGAGGGTTTGCCAGGACTAGAAGAGGCTGGCAAAGTGCCTGCACCAACAAAGCCTGCAGATGGTTGCCCCGGGGGAAGGGGAGGAGAGAAGAGTGTGTGTGGCTTGGGGGTTTTTTGGTGTTTGTTTTTTGGGTTGTTTTTGATTGTTTGTTTCTTTTGTTTTGTTTTTTAAGTGGTGAGAGCTATGTAAGACAAGGAAACCAAATAACCTCTGGGGCTCCCACATGAGATCATCAGGAGGATTAGATCTAGCACAGTCAGCTGTTACTTTACTGCCTCCTGTAGCCTTCAGTGTGGGGACAGGGAAAGGGGTACTGAGCTGGACTTACTTTTACAGCTTTTTCTTTTTTTTTTTTAATCCTGAATAAACAAAGATCTGATTAACGCTGCAAACCTACAGTTACCATGCACGTGAGGAACTCGTTCAGCCTACTTGCATCTATTAAGTTACTTATATACAATCTCATCTGAATGAGAGTTTCAAATTGCAGCTTCTGCTGTGAAACAAAGCAGCTGAACAAATGAACACTGAATAGTGGGGGTTTAGATCCAGAAATTGGAAATACTGGGCAGTACAATGCAGGGCAGATCTTTACCAGTGGCTATAGTACTACTGCAGTAGAGAGAGCCACCTGGTTTTCCTCCCTTCCACCTGCTACACTACGCTACAAAAACATCAAAACATGCACTTATACATAAACAGCAACAGAAGAGAACACTATTGATAGAGCTGTTCCATCGTGTTCTGAGACTGCAGAAGAGAAAGGGGTTACCTGCAAGGCTAGGAAGTGGAGAGAAAGTGTAAGATAAAGCACAAAGTCACAAACAGAACTGATGTGCTGGTATACTAGAGAGGTGGAATAAAATTAGGAAAAAAAATCAGAGTCTGGCCAAACCATTCTTAAATCCTTACCTTAAATACTATAAAAAGTACTGTGAAGTTGTAGGGATCAGATTCCTATTCTCCCTCTCACATTCAACATGTAAATTGGGAAAAACTTCAGGATGATCAGTCAGCTTTAGAGCAACGCAAGGTCAACAGGAGTCACAGGGAGAGCAGAGTTGCCCTCTTTTGAGCCACCAACAGCAGCACTGTGTCTCAGGGCAGGCTTCACACGAGCATCAACTCTAGCTACTTGTTTGGCTTGTGAGCCACTGGAAAAAACAGTGGCAAATGGACATGCTTGCAGTTGCAACCACTTACAGTGATGAGGGAAATGTCATCAGAAACACAATTTTTGGAAGCCTTGCATTTATATGGATACTGAATACTCCATGTGGCCTGTACCCCCGTAGATGGGAATCTCATAGATTTTCCTTCAGTTTTACAACCTTGAGATAACAACATACATGGAGGTCACTATCTTCATTTTATAGTTTTCTGTCATCAACAGAAAATAACTAAATAATCACAGAGCAAACCAGAAGACTAACCTGGATAAAATCCACTCTTCTGAATCCCAGGCTGGTACCCTACCTGCTCTCACTTGCAACTTAACATTTAGGTACATTTTAGTGAGGAATGGGACAGGCTGTTTAACGTACCCAAAATGACTCTCTGGGTCGCCAGAATGTCTGTGTTCTTGGACAGGACAGCTTCTGAGAAAGGGGGCCAAATGTCCATCAAGTCTGAGGGCAAGGTGGTTAGCTTGTTGCTGGATATGTCCAGGTAGGTGAGGTTTCTCAGGTACTGGCCAGCCTCAGCGGGAATGCTGGTCACTTTATTGTTGTGTAAATCAAGAGTCCGTAGGTTGGGCATCTCTGCCAGCGATTCCCAAGGGAAAGTGGAGAGCAGATTACCATCCAGCCGTAGCTCATGCAGTTGTTTCAAGTTATAGAAGCTGCTGATATCAATGTTGGCTACACAGTTGTAAGTAACCCACAGGTATTTGAGATCTACTAGGTAGTAAAAAGCTTCAGTTGGAATCCGTCGTATGACAGTTTTCTCTATACGAAGTTTTACAGTATCCACAGGAACATTTACAGGGATCTCATACATGTCAGGATCATTACAGAGCACAGACCTAGCAACAGGAGGTGGGGGGTGGGCAGCCGTGGATTCATTGGGGGGAGGGGGTGGGGGGGGGGGAAGAAAAAAAAAGAAAAAAAGAGAGAGATATTGGCATTTCTCATTTCTTTATCAGAAATTTGTATTTCAGATTTAAATGCAAATGCTATTACTTTCTGCAACACTACTAGCAGAATAAAGAACGTCAAATCAAGAACAGTCCTCTTCATTTAAAAATTGAAAAGACAAATGTGGAGTTTCTGAAGAGAAAAAGAATACAAAATAGCAATGATACTTTCACAAGAAATCTAGATTTGCTTTATTCTAAAGCATATAAGTACCATCTTCTGTCCATCATTCTATAGACAACCGAAAAACAGAAACCATGTATAAGGAACAATACATGCATGTATCTCAAGTGGGAACTGCATGCCATCTGTTTTACTAAAATTCAGAATATTGGATTACTAATTTCTAATTTTTCCGCATGATGAAGATTCAGAGTATTTGTATATATTTACCTTTCAGAATAGACTGAAAATTGAAAATGTTAGCATATTTCTTTAAAGGAGAGCTTTCTAGCCTTTTGGTGTCTATGTAGAAATGACCCGCTTTTTAGAGGTGCTAAGAACTTTCTGCTTTCGTTGATTTCAGTCAAACGGGATTTCTCAGTATTTTCAAGAATCACTACGTTTCCATTTCTTTAGGGTACATTGTTTGCACATATTAGCTTGAAGATTCCTCTCCCATCAATAAGCCTATCTTTAATTTCCCCCCCCCTTTTCTCTATATTCTTCCTTTGTTTTACTTTCCCCTCATGCAGCTTTATATTAGATATGTTGTGACAATAAGTAGCAATGTCAAACAGTATCTCCCAAAATTGACATGACAATACTCAGATTATCAAATTTCAAATTAAACTCTTTACTACCAAAAATTATATGATTTTCCTGCAGGTTAAAAAGAAGAAACTACTGCATTTATTTAAACCAGAATCACCTTACAGTAGACAACTAGTTTGTAGAAACAGAAAGGACATTGCAATAGTAGGAAAATCATGGAGCAGAAAGAAATTGCCCTCTGCAAAACCTGAAGATTTAGAGTAGCTATTTGCTAAGTACAAAGTCATAATCACCTGGAATGCTGCTAGCCATACAACACCAGTTTAAAATATGCCTCTATTTTAACTATGCTAGAACTAATTTGCAATGTTTGAGAATATTATTTCCAATTTCTTCAACCCTTTTCCTTATAAATTGCCTTGTATGACAAATAATAAAATACATACCTTGTTCCAGTGCCATCACTTCTGCCATGGTAAACACAAGTGCATTGTGAAGGACAAAAACCATGCACTCCTTCAAAAAAGCTCATTAGGATGTAGAAGTAAATAAAAAGATACATGGCTTCCTCCCAGCAGAACTGATAAGAAAAATTTTGAAAACTTTATTCCTAGGCACTCATGTGCAGTGTGCTACGAACGTGAATGTAGACATCCATTTAGTAACAGCAGATTACATCAGATTAGCCGAGATCTGTCGTTGCTTAACCTTCAAATGTATCCTGAAAGGGATCAATTAAACCTGCTCATTCTTTATTCTGTCAGAAGAACACATTCTGTTTCAAATCATATCCAGCATGTTTCAAGGCTATTTTAATATGTAGTTTGTAGGGTTAGTATGTAATAAAATGTCTCTTTGCTCCTTCTAAGAGGCAATGCATTAGTTACTGTCCATAAAGTGTTCCAAGGTTCCTGAAGGAAATCTAGTACAGCATGAGGATGTTGCACAGCATTTTCTTTAATACTAAAAATTACAAATTAACAGGAAGCCTAGATTCCAGAGCTTTTAAAGAATCCTGTAAAAACAGTTTTTTACCAAAAAAACACATATATTTTAAATAAGTAACACACTGCAAAGCCAAACTTCAGATGCACGCATACATAATAATAGAAGATATTTATTCTCAAAATCTGAGAATCAAGAGTGCATATAGTACCGTTCATAAATAGATCTATACACAGTCATCTTTTCCATCCTGAAAAAACCCATTGCTCACATCGCCAAAGGTGTTTTTTGAAAATTACACAACAGACCTATAAAACCATGAGATTGACTTAGAAATTACGAGAAATGACTAAATATTTACTCAGTTTTATGTGCTTCCCAAGTGTCAAGCTTTAGGGTGCCATTTGTCTCATTTTCAGGATTTGCTGTGCAGTCACAAGCACTAGAAATGTACTACTACTAAAACAAAAGTGTCTTTCCTCCAAATTCATTTGGTTGTGTGAGCCAAAACTTTAAAAATACATTAAATATCCTGAAATTCCTTCGAAATCCTAAAAGCTGATAACAGATTCTATAGGATTTGGCTAGATATTTTTATATCTTAACATATTCATAGAAACAGAACTTTGCAATGCATATCAACATGGATACTTGGTATAGAAATATATTCACAGAGGGAGAATCCAGAATATTTCAAGTCTGGAAAACTTTCAAGGGAAGGTGAGGGAAAGTAATTCACGAAAGGAATTACAGGTGCAAAGTCCATGTTACAGAACCTAAGCACTTCCTGCTCCAGTCTCTCCCTGCCCCTGTGTCACCTCGTCCAACCCTGTAAGAGTCACAGTGACCTCTTCACTAGCCTTTTTTGTTTGGGACAGACATATTGGGCCAATAAACCTCACTCTCAAAAACTAAAGTCTTAGTGGTTTTTGTCTTTTTGTCTTCTTAACCTATCTAAAAAGATTACTGTGATTAACAGAAAACAGCTGGCTGGCTGGGGCAGATTATTATTCCAAAATATTAGTCTTCCAAAAGATTAATTAACTTTAACCCAGATTTCACTCCTTTCCATGTAACATATGCAGGCAATGACACAAGTCCTACGATGTCAGTGCACTTTGAGATACGCTCATGGGCAAGGCATTGTTTATAGTTATCTCTTGTCTTGTCTGACATCGCACCATTGCCAGGATTGCCCTCCGAAACCTGCAAAGGACAAGAAAGGGAAAGCAGAAAGATTGTTAGCTGGAGAACCAAATACAAAGAAAAACTGGGTCAGCTGGCCTTAAGTATTACAACAGTTTTCAATTTTAGTAAAACTTACTCAATAAAAAATGGTGTATTTGAAATTCAAAAGGACCTGAGTTTTTTTCACTTCCGTGTACAGGAATAACTCAGTTAAGTTCAGTGTTTCTCCTACAACAGGGGTCACAGCAGCTTCTGCTTATCCCAGAACAGGGTATAGCCACAACAAAGATGAACTTACAGAATGGGGAAAAAACGAGATGGTTTTTCATTGACACGGCAGGATCAGCTAAGTTCACCTAGACAGGGATCACAGGCTCTGCTTCTAGGTTGGTAGTAGAGAAAGGAAGGATGCCTCTTTGCAAAACCCAGTTCTCAGTCAGAGGCACTGGCTTGGTTAGAGCATTTGATATGCTTGCTCAAAACAGAAGAATAGGCTTAGCATATTTACTTTAACAAAAAGTGTCAATCCATCCTAATCAGTCAGAATATGACACATCCCAAATCAAGCAAGGAAACATGTCACTAAGCCGCCACACATTTTTGGCCACAGTCATTAAAACGAGTCTACCGCTGATGCAACCCAAATTCCATAATGAGTCCCTCTGAGAAACCACAAAGGGACTTTCAAAACTGTCTTACAAAAGTTTCATTAATGAGTTCTCAAAAATTTTTATCAATTCAGTATGTTCTGATGATGATCAAAACAATTTCTTTTAGACTTTCTTGTCCAAAAGGTCATCTTTGGTAAATCAACAGTGGCTTACCCTTTGATCTCTTCGCTAATCAGTTTGTCATATTTTACAGATGATCCTTCTACAGTTAGATGATATGCTAAAATAATGAAGTAGACTGGTACTAAATTAGGAACACTTACTTTTTGTTTGCAACAACATAAATGCAGGGATTATAGAATGTGGAAGATTTCGCGAATAGAGGAGCTATGATGGCCATTGCAGGAGAAATTTTCTTTGGGTCTCCAAAGGAAGACCATAAGCACACAATGGAATATGGAGACCATGCCACCAAGAACATTATAATCATCACAACAGACATCTGTAAAACAAGAGGAACAGACACATAACCAGTATTACCTGCAGATGAAGACCTCACAACCTAACCTCAAAAGCACATGCACCTGTGTGAAAATAGAGCTATCCAGAACCAAACAACAACATGTAAACAAGCACACCTGACAAATTTTGTCAGGTTTTAATGAAATCTCACTTTGGGGATTTAATAGCACATCACACTGCCATGTATTTTGGCATGCTGTTATTTCATTACATACAACCTTCCTTCACAGTCAGCATTATTGATTATGTTAAATCTGTCCATCAGAAGTTTAAATGGCCAGAGAGGACTTCACACATGAACTATGACCACCACTCTGGGATGCTATTACAAAAAATAAATATGAACAGAGAGAAAAACCTAAGCCAAATGTTTAATAAGGCTGTTAATAAAAACGTTTCATAACTATAACGCTTAACTATGGTACAGTTAAATAAAAGAAAGTAAACGTTCTAAGGACACAAAGGCTCAGTCCATATACTTATGGAACCCAGAAGTGTCTGCTTGGTTTAATGAAGCATGATAGCCATGTTCAGGCATCATACTGAGGAGATATTGGAGCAGTCGTGTCTTCTCTGCCTGCCTGTCAGAGTGAACAATCCGGGCATGTTGGGGCTTACACACCAGAACATACCACGCCACAACTAGAACTGAACAGCAGCAGCCTGGGGGTAGTGGAAGAGTAGGAGAGGAATCAACTAGGACAGACCTTCCTGGCTTTTGTCAGGGACATGAATCAGTAATGGAAACTGAAATGGAAATCTCAAATTAATCAACAGGACAAAACAAATCACTAGAAAACCAAACAAACCTGCAGGGCTCTTTGTAGTTGCAGGATTCCCTAGTGTGGTTTACCTATACCCTTATTCAGTCTTTCAGTGATGAACAAAATGAGAAAAAAGAAGTAAATGGCTACTTTGTATGAGCTGTTCTAGAGCATAACCATAAACAAGCAGTGATTCTCTCCACAGAAGATTCCTATTTAAATACAAGCGCAATACCTATTGATAATAATGTAAAGAAAGAACCCTTTCGCTTAGAAGTTTGTTTGGTGCTTGGAAAGCTTAGAAGATGCTAATTTGTGAAAAAGCAAGCAGTTCAATTCTAAAGAAGGATACTGATTAACTCCAAAGCTTCAATCTTTTTTTTTCCCCTTTTTTAAAAAAATACATGTTTTGCAGTGTCTTCAACTGCAAAACAGGAAAAATGCATTTTCTTCACAAATGTGAGTCTAAATTTATAACTGAATCCTCAGTTTCAAGCATTCTGGAAGTTCTTCAGAAGAGCAAAATGCTCAAATTATTATTTTTAGGTAAAAATATCATTTTTCAGAATCTAGCAATGAGAAAGTTTTCCAAGGAATGTTAAGTTTGCATTGATAAGTAATTCAAAAGCATAGGTACATACTCTTCTGTCCAATTCTCTCTCACTTTTTTTATCATGCCCAACCATAAATCATATCTTTACACAAAATCAAAGGAGCTAGTGAACTTCAAGCTTTCTCAAGGACTTTTGTACGTTAAAAGAATGTCAACCTTCCAGGCAGGATATATCATTTTATGCCATAATTCACATTTGCTCCTGTTTACATAAGAAAGAGATAAGCTCAACAGACTGAAAAGAACAAGGCATCAGAATCACACAGCTCAGGAGCTTGGAAATGCACTTTCATTCCTAGGCCATGAGTTCAAATCCGAGTTGACTAATCCATTTCAGACCAGATACTCCTGTGAACCTAGCAGAAAGCCTAAGGACTCTGCAGACACAAAGAGTAAAAATCCTCCTAGGACACCTCTGAGGTGTCATTACATTTCTATGTAATGACAGAGGGCAGAGGCAAGGAAAACTCACGTTGTTCCCAGCCTTCAAAGCAGCTATTCATCTGGAAAGAGTATTAGGCCAAAAGTAAAGAATCTAGTGCTATAAGTCAAGCCAAGAGTTTTCACCAAGGCTGAATTTCAGTTAATATATTTAGTACGAAAGGAAAAGGGGAATGTAGGAAACAGAAGTGCTTAAAAGGCTGCACTGCTCCTTTGCCCCCAAGACTTTAACACAAAAGAACATGCTTAAAACAAAACATGCCCTCATTTACCATACCTTTGTCACATCTACTTGGTCAGACCAATCTACGTTGATGCTCTCCAGGCAGTTACTGCTGGCATATTGTTTCATTGTCCGGGAAACATTGTAATAACAGTAAAACATGACTGTTAAGGGTACAACAAAATTAACAGCAATTACACTCATTGTGTAGGAAACAAAGGACCTGATAAGACAGAAAAACAAAACACAGTAACT